AAGATACTTCCCGCGGGGGCAGCTGGGTGGTTCAGTGGGTTCAGTATCTGCCTTCAGTTCAGGTCATGATCCCAGGGTCCTCGGTCCCTGAGCAGTGAGCCTGCTTCTCCCTCTACCCTCGCTTGTGCCTCCCCCCAATAAATAAATAAAATCTTGAAATTAAATAACAGAGATACTTACCGCAGGTCTAAATCGGGGTGGGGGTGTTCGGTCCTTCCGTGCTTCACGAGAGCGATTCCTGACTACCTTGCTGTGAATGGCACAACTCACGCAATAATGCAGTTTCACATACAGCTTGGGAAGCACATAGGCTGAGAAACAAAGTAAGAGGCATAACAGTAGGTATTACATACCCACATTGCACTTGTTCTCATTCTATCAGTCAAACATAAACCTACTTACAAAGTTTCACTTCCAAAGCAATCGTTCAGTTTGGTAACTTAACACATGTGCATTTTCACAAATGAATAGTCCCCTACTAACCCTTGTCACCACGGGTACCAAATCCACAGCCTACTGGCAATAAACCAACAATCCAGTTCCTTCAGCAGTTGCACCAGTCCTAATGCCTGTTCCTGGGCCCCTTCTCCTTGCCTAAGAAAACTAATTTGTCTGAAGAAAAATAAATGATCGGGGCGCCTGGGTGGCTCAGTCGTTAAGTGTCTGCCTTTGGCTCAGGTCATGATCCCCGGAGGCGGGGAGCCTGCTTCTCTCTCTCCCACTCCCCCTGCTGTGTTCCCTCTCTCACTGTGTCTGTCTCTGTCAAATAAATAAGGTCTTAAAAAAAAAAAAAAAAGATCAAAATAACAGAAAACACACTGCTCTAAAGATCACCCTTGCCCAAATTAGATTACTTTCATTATTGAAACATTAAGATTTAGTCTGTACATCTTTATAATGGGTATTCAAGTGTTCAACAATCCAGACAGGTTGGGTGCCTGGGTGGCTCAGATGGTTAAGCATCTGCCTTTGGCTCAGGTCATGATCCCAGGGTCCTGGGATCGAGTCCCGCATCGGGCTCCCTGCTCCTTGGGAGCCTGCTTCTCCCTCTGCCTCTCTCTCATGAATAAATAAGTAAAATCTTAAAAAAAAAAAAAAAAATCCAGAAAGGTTGCTACGTTTTTCATGTTTGTTTTTTTCAAAGATTTTATTTATTTATTTGACAGAGAGAGACAGAGCGGGAGAGGGAACACAAGCAGGGGGAGTGGGAGAGGGAGAAGCAGGCTTCCTGCCGAGCAGAGAGCCCGATGTGGGGCTTGATCCCAGAATCCTGGGATCATGACCTGAGCCGAAGGCAGAAGCTTAACGACTGAGCCACCCAGGTGCCCCCGTTTTTCATGTTTATACCTAGTGTTCCCCAAATGCTGATACATGATAAATTCTATTAGTGCTTTTGCAATCTCACCCTCTAAATAGGTAACCGCAAATCATGACCCAAAGACTGCACTATCACACAAAGTCCCCCTCTGTCCAGACAAGGTTAAAACAAACGAAGCAAAAATACCGGTCTCTTCCATCAACAGTAATCCTAAAGGCCCGCAGAAATTGCCTGGGACGCGCCAGAAACGCGCCCAGAAACAGAGCCTGCAGGTGGAGATGGGTTGTGCCAGAAGCTCACTCACCATCGAAGACGCTCGCTTCGGAAATGTCCCTGACGGCGGCAGCCTCTACTATGTTCCGAATAACGAACTTCTTAATGGCCTTATCCTTGGGCACACAACGGGCGCAGTTGGTGCAGCGAATAGGCTGCACGTGGCCGCGGCCCTTTTTGGCACGACCATTATTCCTTCTTTTCTTGGTCTGCATCAAAATGAAGATCCTGTTAAAAATGGGGCGCAGCTTCCCCAACCTTAGCCCCCTACCGGCTACAATCCGCGCCGGCAGCTCCCAAAATAGCTCTTCTCAAACCTTCAGCCCCTCTGCACATCCCTCAAAGGTTGAAGCAAATACACACTCTGTATACTCTCCGCCATGTTCCAGGCTTTCAAGTCCCCACAATCTAAGAATCTGTTCCTCTCAGACCCCCACGCGGACCCCCAGCACTCACCACGCGCCACAACTCACCATCTTGGTAGCGAGACCCGAGAGAGAATGTAGCGCCGGTCCCGACGCTCTTATATAGCACGAGAGCCCTACGCGCACACAGGAAGACTATTTAGGAGACGTACAGCGAGAACGGCAAGCCACTTCACTCAGACGTTCTTCATTATTAAGCGTTTACGCTGAAATGTAGTGGTAGAAAAGCGTTGGGTTTTGTTATACGTGGTAGAAAGTGACCGTGGGACTATTTAGCCGGCTGGCGGAGGAAAATTAGGGTTATACGTTTCCTACCAAGTACTACGATCCCTACCCCGGAAGTAATTCTGGGCGTAGTAATTATCCGGTTTTGCGACGCTATGCGCGGAAATTGCCCGCGCAGGACCACAAATCGCACTCCCTATCGGAGGTCAGAGGCGGGGAGGTGCATGGGAGTTGTAGTGGGAAGCTGGCCGGTCGTTGCCCCCGAAGCTCTTTGACTGAATGAGGCGCTGTGCCACGGGGGGACGCTCTCGGCTCATTTCTCTGACAATACTGTTACTTGGTGTAGGATTGAGAAACGGAAGTCCTGGGGGAAAACAAAACATTTTGTTAATTTCTCCTTCCAGTATGGACAAAACCCCACGAAAGGCCATAGGCAAGTACAGGGGTGTTAGCGCTGTTTCTTACTCACTTTTTTTTTTTTAACATCACTGGATCATGTTAACATAGCGCCAGACCCTGTAGTAAGCGCTTTATAAATATTAACTCATTTTACCTTCAACAAGCTTATAAGGTAGGTTCTATTATTCTCCTCCCTTTGCAGATTGAAAAACTGAAGTTGCTTAAAATCACAGAGTTAGTAAGAGGTGTCCTGGCTCCACTACACTATGCTGCCTTCCGCCGAACAAAAAAATGGGTGAAGGTATATAACCTGGAACAGTAACTTCAACGATTTTGATTCCGACCGATAGCAGAAATATATTTTACTTTGGTTCTCAATACATACACAGACGTACAAAACTGAAATACAAATTTCATGCAACAGTACCTGCCCTTAGGGGCAATGATATGTTCTGTTTTCTACTTTATTTTTTTAAAGATTATTTATTTATTTATTTTTAGTTATTTATTTGACAGAGAGATCACAAGTAGGCAGACAGGCAGGCAGAGGGAGAAGCAAGCTCCCGGCTGAGCATGGAGCCCCATGTGGGGCTCGATCGGAGGACCCTGGGATCATGACTTGAGCCGAAGGCAGACGCTTAACCGACTGAGCCACCCAGGTGCCCCTGTTTTCTACTTTATTTTATTTTATTTATTTTATTTTTTTTAAAGATTTTATTTATTTATTTGCCAGAGAGAGAGAGAGAGCACAAGCAGGGAGAGCTGTAGGCAGAGCAGGCGGAGGGAGAAGCAGGCTCCCTGCCAAGCAAGGAGCCCGATGTGGGACTCGATCCCAGGATCCTGGGATCATGACCTGAGCCAAAGACAGACGCTTAACCAACCGAGCCATCCAGGCGTCCCTCTACTTTATTTATTTATTTATTTTTAAAGATTTTATTTATTTATTGACAGAAACAGAGTACAAGCAGGGGGAGCTGCAGGCAGAGGGAGAGGGAGAAGCAGGCTTCCCGCTGAGCAGGGAGCCTGATGCGGGGCTCGATCCCAGGACCCTGGGATCACGACCTGAGCCGAAGGCAAACGGTTAACGACTGAGCCACCCAGACCCCCCCACCTCTACTTTATTTTAATAAATGTTGACCAAGCCCCACTAAAGTGATTTCACCACTCAATGAGTCTGGCCCGTGATTGAAACATACTTTCCTGCGTATAAGCTCCCTTTACCTTTGGACAGCCATTAGAAAGTCTTTAGCTTTGAGCAGGAGTGCTATCTGTGGGCAACCACCCAGTTGTCTCCAAAGTTGAAAAAACTAGAGTGTCAAGGGGACCTCCCAGAATTCAGACCGAAGGTGGTAGAGATGGAGACCAACCATTCATTCATGAGTCATTCTGGAGTCCGAACACCAGTCACTTTCCCTCAAAAGAAACCCATCATGGTTTCTTTTCACCTCTAATCCACTTTACTGGGATTGAAGTTTATTTTCTAACTTTTGTTTTGGCTTCAGAACAACTATATTCATGGTCTCTCTCAAGTTTGAACTTGTTAGTGTTAATGGGTTATGGGAAATGATAGACTTTAGATGGAAGTATCTTCAATTTTCACTTCAGTATAGTCTCATGGAAAACAGAAGGCAGACATTAGTGTATGGATTGGCAATGAGATAGGAGAGAACAGGAAAAAAGTTCAGAGTGAAGGGGACCGAAAATAGTTAACATTTAAGACAGAACCAAGTTAATGTTCCTGTCTTGGCTTTTTGGATTTTTATAACCTGGGAGTTCCAGTGGCAGCATTTCCTGGCATAAAGATATGGGCACAGAATTTGGAGTAACACACTCCTGGGTTCAAAAATGGGTTTTGACATTTATTGGTTGATTAGTCTTGGACAAGTTGTTTACTCTCTTGGGCTTTTATTTCTTCACTAGTAATGGTGGATCATTCACTTTTAGGTGGTTTCTACAATTACATGAATACTTGGCACAGTGCCTTGCACTTATGCTCAAGAAGTGGTAGACCCTATTATTATCATCATTCATGTTATTGTAACTTGCATTTCCTTGAGCGTATAATGTGTTTTGCATATAGTAGGTACTCAAAAAATGTTTGATGAATCTCTGCTTTGGATGGATAGGCAAGTTGGGCTTCCTCTGTGCTGAAGGCACTCCTGGTAGGAAGATCTCCACTTTCCACTGTAGGTCGAAAATTCTGTTCTTCTGTAGCAACAGCTTGAGCATTCTTGTTTGGCTTCCTCTTAATCTTAGACTTGTTCACCTTCAAAATATTTAGTAGTTGGTACAGTGTGCAGCAAGGAGATCCCCCTCCCTCCCAGCAGAAAATTACAGCAAAATCTGCAAAAACAACCAGGGGTGTTAAATTACTCATGTTTATTTATAACAGACCTTCAGCCAGTACAGTACAAAACTTACAGTAGTATATCTCCATTACACAAATATTTACTTACAATATATTACATATACAAAATGCTTTGCAATAAGTCTCAAAAGATAGTTTAACTCCCCTTGAGAAAGGAGAAAAACCCTTTAAAAAAAGGGGGAGGGAGAACCAAAGGAAGAGGGGGAGGTGAAAGGGTAAGGTCCAAGGAGACACCAAGCATAGGCTACAAATGAAACCCTGGGAGAGAGAGAGAGGAGAGGTGGTATTGCACTTGCTTCTGTGTTTTATTTTTTTTCTTTTTGTTCTTCATAACTTCTGATTAAAAATATATATAATATATATATATATTATGTACACAAGGAAAGAAGCTGCTGAAAGTATTACAAAATCCCATCCGCAGCTTGGACACTGACACAAAAAAACAAAGGTCTGGAAAAGTGTCTATTTAGAAATTTTCTCGTGTGGTGTTGGTCTTGAATATCAATATAAAAGGAAAACACCTCTTTTCTCCATGTGGGTTTCAATTTTTTTTTTTCTTTTTCTTTACTTTTTTTTTATGCAAAAGGAGCTGGGAGAGAGCATGAGGATGTTTGAGGTTCCAGACCTGGAAGGCTCTGGAAAGTAGGATTTTGTACCTAAGACCCTGGTTAAAGTGCAGTGATGGTCTGGAGAGAGACAGAGTGCCCTTCTCTCCCCTCCTTAGCACCTGGTCTTGCCCTTCCAGTCTCTGCTCTCATGGGCTCAGAGTATAGCCTCAGAGCATAGTCCTTCATGTTCCAGGAGGTTACAGGTGCCAGAGCTGACTGGGGGAGGGGACAGGGGCACCCTAAGGCTCTGATACCCTAGAAGGGACTAGTTCTTATGAGGTGTCACCAAGTACACAGCAGACGAAAAAGAGGTGGTAAGGGGTAGGTCTAACAAGAAGGGGCTCAATAACCACAACAGTTGAGAAGAACCCTAGATATTAATCTCAGCTCTGCTGCCATTCTGAAAGAAGGAGCCAGTTCCCTGGGGTACTGTTGAGAAGACTCTCCCCTTCTCTAGAGACTGATCTCCTTCCAGCTAACTCCCCCATCCTCTGCCCTTGGCAACATCTGTTTATTGCTACATTGTCAAGGAGGAACCATCAACCCACAAAGCCCCTCCTTGACAATCTGGTTCTCTTAGGGAGACTACATAGTGGGGGAGAAAAAGAAGGGAGAAAAGTTTTTCTAGGGTCTCCCTTCCCATAGAGGGTAAGGTAGACTCTTCCTAGAGCCCTTAGGAGCCCCAATCCCAGGGTCTGTTCCTTAGCCAACCCTTCACCATCCCCCTAAATTATCCCTGATAGGGAGTGAGAAAAGTAGGAGGCAAAAGAGCCAATAAGGAAAGGACATATGGAAAGAAAGATGGAAGGGGAGAGAAAAGGAGAGAGAGAGAAGGACCAAGTGTTACAACTTGTGAGGTGTTGTGTTTGGTTTTTACTTTCTTTTTTTTTTTTTTTTTCTTTAAACATAGAAAAACAGCCTTTGGTTTGAATCTCAAGGAAGCAGAGAATGGGATAGCTGTGGCCTTGGGCAGAAAACGCTTGTAGAAAGAGACCTCCACTCACAGTGGAGCCGTATCTCCTCCTGCCCCCTTCTCACTAACTAGGTTACCCAAAAAGCCAGGGGTCTCTGCTGTGGCCAGGAGGAGCATGCCCCCTCCTGCCCTACATCTGGGAACTGAGTGTAGAAGGGGGCAGTAGAGGATGACCCCCAGTTCAGTTGTGCCCATCCCATTCTTGCTGGGACAAGAATGGAATGAGGTGAGGGGCAAATGCCCTTCCTCGTCCTGGGATAATTTTTGGTTATACTGAAAATTAGGAGAAAAGAGACACCCTTTTCTCCCTGCCACTGATCCTAAGAACAGGGCCCAGAAGCCTGGGAATGAGGGTGAATCCTGCAGGGGGGAGAAGAAGAAGGCAGCATGACTGAGGGGTTGAGATAACCCCTTGTCATCAGGCAGCAACCCACTAGTTTCTCATAGGAGAGGGACGGCAGGAGCCCCTGAGAGCCTAGGAAGGTCACTAGAGTGAAGACGATTAGAGGTGGAAGAGAAAGAAGAATTTTAACCCACCCCCTTCCCATGCCCTGGTTCCCAATTAGGCACCTGTGGCTCCCAACATGTCAGGGACAGGATTGCAGACCTAGCCTTGGCCCCTGAGAATATAAAGTTGGGGCACTCCAAGGAGAGAAAAACCACCACTGAGTAGACTGGCAGGTTGAAGAGAGTAGCAGTGTTGGGGGTTGTTTGAGGAGAGAAGAGATAGATCACATCCCAGAGGGAGATTCCCAAATGTGGGCTTTAAGGAACTCATATTACTAGGGGAACGTCAAGAGGACCCTCAGTCCCACAGTGCCTGGGGAGAATTTCTTCAGCCCCTCCTACTTCCCAATGAGGAAATTCTTCATTTGTTCAAGCATAGTGCGAGCTGCCTAACGTGAGAGGGCACAAGAGGTATGGAGTACCAGGTCGAAGGGTCCCAGAGAGGAGATATAATGCCACAGAGCTCAGGTAGGGCCAGAGGGAGTTATCAGCATTGAAAGGAAAGATAATGCAAAAGGTGAGGACTTAACACAAGAAGCTCAGAACTCTTACGACCAAGAGGAGCTTCCTACCCCGAGGGCTGTTAGAGAAAGCTGGATCAAAGGAAGAAAAATTAGGCCTAAAGTGGGAGGGGGCTGTGGGCCAGAGGGTGGGGGAGTGGCAAGTGACCGATAAGAGAAAAAAGCAAAAGAAAAATCCACAAATTATATTAATAAATAACTCTGAATATGCTGGGATGAGAGGAGAAGAGGAAGAGGAGAAACATAATCGAAAAGGCCTGTTTCATCACAATGCTTATGTCAGTCAGGGTAGAGGAGAATGGGTGAGGAGGGGTCAGGGCCAAGGGTGAAGTCAGGTAGCCAGTGGTGGAGGCTACCGAGCAAAACTCCTTGGGATGAAGTGGGGACAGAGCTAGACTCCTGTAGGTAGGGCAGTGAAGTGATGGACTGAGGGGAGGGCAGTAGGTGGCTAGCCCACCTTGTGCTCCCCCCGGACAATGTGGGAAGAGAATTCGTACCGGTCCTGGCTGTGGTAACCACAGATGTTACACTCGAAAGGGTCTCTGAAGCCATGGCAGCCCATGTGGATGGTGAACATGACATGGTCCAGAAAGAGGATTCGGCAGTGCTCACACTTGAAGGCCTTCACCGGCTCACCGCTCTCGCCCACCACCCGGAGCACTTCCTTGGAGGGGCCCGGGGTGCCCCGCAGTAACCCCTCCTGCGGCTTGGGGTCCTCTTTGGCGTAGGCAGGACTGGGCCGGCCCACCACAATGGTGGGAGGTGGCTGGGGTGGGGGACCCTGAGGGAGGGATACCACCCCCCCAACCCGATCTTCGTGGTTGCTCTCTGTGTCTGTGGAGTCCTGGCAGCCATTGCTGGGGGATGCCCCGGGGTCAGTCAGGGGGCCTCGGGCCCGGTAGAGGAGAGGGCCTCCATCGGCCAGGTCCTCGGGTCCCTCACCTGCTTCTCGGGACCCCGGAAGCTCCAGTCGACCGGGGAGGGGCTGCATCTGGGTGTAGACGGAGCTGATGACGGGTGTGAGTTCTGAGATGCAGTTGGTAGGTGGAAGGCGGAGGGGACGCAGATGTTCTGCCCCCACAAAGGCCAGAGAGCCTCCGAAGCCAGGCTCCAGGCCGTGATGTGCCACCAACTCCACATCCTTCTCATAGCCCCCTGAATTCACATCATAGGGGATGTCAGAGAGGCTGAAGCGCATCTGCTTTTCACCTGTGGAGGAGAGGATCTCAGCAGAGCTGGGTTTCGAGAATTCCTGAGTTTCCCCAGGATGACTTCTTTGTTTGCTTACCCTGGGGATGACTGTAACATTATTTACCAGTCCTCATTCACTTCCCTCAAGGTCAGGACCTCTGTGGGGCCACTCCCCAACTCCAGGCTATAATTGTAGGGAAGGACTCAGTCCCAGCCCGAGGCTGATCTTTAACACTTCCTTCATTGCCCTTTATAAAGTTAGAGAGTGAACCTCAAGGCCATACTCACACTTCCTCCCTCTGATACTCAGGGCCCTTCTCTCAGATCCCACAGGTGGAAGTCCTTGCTGTTCTCAAAAACTGGGAGAACCTGAGCTCCTGACCCCCCTCCTCTTAAAACCACCACAACAGCCCTCAACACCCTCTCGAGGTACCTTCTCCCCCTTCATGCCCCTTCTGTTCTGGGGATGGATTCTGAGCACCAGAGCCTACTTTTTCCCCTCCCATCAAATCTCCAGGCCCAACTGGTCTGATGGCTACCAGAGCTCAGGTTTAGAGGAGCTGTGGCTTAAAGCTGATGTCTCCTCCCCAACTGGACTCTTACCTACAAACTTCTGAGGGGTGGAGCGCTTGCGTTTGGTGAGGCTGTTGGCCAGCCGATCAATGAAAGTTGGCCGCTCAGAGGATGAGTGCAGCATGGAGTCTGGCACCATCTCCAGGTCACGTATCTCGTCACCTAGAGGGAAGGAGGTAGGGACAAGTAGAGCAGCTGAAACAGGGTGGCATTGGTTCAGCAGCCTTTGCCTGGAGAAAATCAGCAGGTCAGTAGCCAAGGAAGGTCATCCCCAATACCTGGAAAATCAGGTTCCGCTCACTTCCCCTTCTCTAGAGCTCATCCTAGCAACATTTCAGGTAATTTGAGGACCACTAGATGCATGTGACCCTTGGTTTCATACTTCCTTGTGTTCTCTCTCTCCCATTAGACTGAGGACATAGATCAGAACTTCCCTGACCCCTGGACCTTCCTGCAGCACCCACCACAGGGCTCTGCACCAACTGGAGTGCTTGGCAGATTTACGAGGCAACTGTCCTTTATCCATAGACCTCATCCCTTTGCTGGGGGGCGGGGTAGCGCAGGGATCACCCTTGCCCTCACTCCCTCTGGCCCTGCCCTCGACTCACCCCCCCAGGCCCGCCTACAGCCGCACCTGGTTGGCCGGCCAGAGCTTGGGCTTCAGTGCTGAGACTCTGTAGGTAGTTGTGACACCGCTCTTTGTGCTCCTCCAGGGTACTCTGCTGTTTGTAGCTGCGGCCACAGTAGTTACACTTGTACGGCTTGCCCACTGTGGGGGAGGAGACTGTGGAGGAGACAGGAGAGACATGGCATTGGTTACTTCTCCCTGTGTCCTGGCTCTACAAAGCCATCTGGGAGCAAATGTGCCCTGGCATGAGGAGGAAGGGATGCGGCTCAAGTGAATTCTGCTCGTCTTTCCTTCCCTACCTTCAGCGGCAGGCATGGACAGGTAACCACACCACGGAGAAGGGGACCAGTGCACAGCCACGGGAGCAGAGAGGGGACCGGGGCCTACAGCTTTGGATGGCAGCTGGGCCTCACGGTGGCCAAACTGGTGCTCAAAGGAAGGAGGAGCCAGGGACTTTGTAGGGGATCATCCCTGGCAGGCAGGCTGGCCCCACCCTAGGGTCTTAGATTCTGGGGCCCAGACTGTGGTTTAACCTTTCCATGTGGCAGGCGGGTGCAAGTGCTGTTTATCAGACAAGGGGATTTTTTGCTTTCGACCTATCTGCTTTGGTTTGGGGGAAATTGGTGGGCTGGGGTGACAGAAACGAGAGCCCTTAGATCTGCCAATGTGGGGAGGGGCAGTTTTCACTGACCTTTACTTGTGCTTCTACTCCCACCCCTAGCCTGGTTTTACTGCTTATTTTTCTTTCTGTCTCTCTACACTGAGATACCAAGAGAGCCCCAGAAAAACCATGACTGATAGAGAAATTCTGAGAAGAGAAAAAGAAAAGAAGAGAGGGTAAAATAAAGGAGATGAGTAAAAGAAAGAGAACATCAACTTTGAGGGTCTTTTAAAATTTTTTTAAATAAAGAACAAGTTAGGGGCACCTGTGTGGCTCAGTCGGTTAAGTGTCTGCCTTTAGCTCAGGTCATGATCCCAGGGTCCTGGGATCAAACCCCACGTCTGGCTTCTTGCTCAGTGGGGAGCCTGCTTCTCCCTCTGCCTGCTGCTCCCCACTGCTCATGCTCTCCCTCTCTGACAAATAAATAATAAAATCTTAAAAAAAAAAAGACTTTTTTTTTAAAGATTTATTTATTTGAGAGAGAGCGAGTGAGTGGGGGAGAGGAAGAGGGGAAGCAGACTCCTTGCTGAGCATGAAGCCTGATGTAGGGCTCGATCTCACCACCTGAGATCATGACTTGAGCCGAAATCAAGAGTCGGATGCTCAACGAACTGATCCACCTAGGTGCCCCTAAAGACAACTTTTGAGAGATAATATTTGTGAGAGGAGAGAGAAAAGTGAGAGAACAAGGTATTGTATATCTTATTCTACGTATCTTGGGACACCTGGGTGGCTCAGTCAGTTAAGCATCTGCCTTTGGCTCAGGTCATGATCCCAGGGTCCTGGGATTGAGTCCTGCATTGGGCTCTTTGCTCAGGGGGGAGTCTGCTTCTCCCTCTGCCTGCCACTCCCCCTGCTTGTGCTCTCTCTCTCTCTGACAAATAAATAAAAATAAAACATCTTATTTTACATATCTTGCTACTATTGAGCAGGGAGGCAGGATAAGGTGTCTCCAGGAGGGTGATAATTACCCCCCCCCACTCCTTTTATGTACACACCTACACTGGGCTTGGTTTAATCTATGCCATTTTGAGCTTGCTCTGTAAACCCTAGTCTTTGGGGGATGAGGTGAATGCCACGGTCCCTATCCACCCAAGACTTTTGGGAAAATGGTTTAACATCTGGGCGAGGAACCCCTTTTTTATTATAGTGTGGGTTATATAGAAAGCATCTCACAGAGATGGAACCCCACAGGTATACCTGTGTCAAATTCTGTCCCTAATAATCTTCTACAGAACAACATCCAAAATCTACCCTGCTGGCCTTGTTGTTGGTTCAACAGTTCTAGGGACCAAGCCATCCTTGTTCTAAACCAGCAGAGGGAGCTGCCCCTTTTCTCAGGAAAAGGAGTATGATTCTTCGGCACAGAACCTTGATGGGGGTCCAGGAAGGCTGCAGAATAGCTCTGTGGCCAGCAAATCTTTTTTTTTTTCTTTCTTTCTCCCCCCCAGAGCTTCAGTTTCCTTGTCAGCAAAATGAGGATCACATGAGGAGACAAGCGAAATGCTTTGTAGATCATAAAGCCAGCTCCAAGGTGAGAGAACCTAGAACAAGGTAGGTGGCTGGAGAAATTGTGCTGAGGTGATTGCTCTGTCCCTTTAAATCCCAGCCCAAGAGACTTTAGGAAAAGAGAAAAATATCAAGGAAAGTTGCCAAGGACAGATCCTACTAATTTTTTCCCCTCTGCCCTTCTTCCTGCCTTTTCCAAATCTTGAGCTCCTACTTCCCGCCAGCAGCTTGACTCCTGGTCTCTTCACAAGGCGAAGCTTAAAACTTAGTAAGATGCTTCAAAAATGCTATCTGCCCAGCTGATTCAGACATATGTTGACTCCAACAGTGTTGGCTGGGGCTATGAAAACTGGGTAGTCCAGTCCCCTGGCATGGATCCAAACACTAACCTCTGGACACTCTTGTGACTTGCTCTTGCCTCTGGGAAGGGGACAACCTCTTGGGATGGGGAACAGAGGCTTTTCCTAGGCCTCCTTTCTTCCTTTGGAGTTTGGAGGCCCATGGATATTTTTAGGAACCAGTAGGAAGTAAAGGAGAGGACAGATGGTGGTGGTCCAAGACCTCTGGTATCATGGAGGGAGGTGATGATGGTGATGGGTGTGGGAACTCAAGCATATGGAATTGTGAGGAAGGGTTTTTCTGGTGCTCAGAAGTATGGAGCGGGGTGGGGTACAGATGGTTCTGGCAGTAGCACGAACTTTAAAAAACAAAGGGCGGGTGACTGTGTAGAGCCAAGAACATCACCCATGCTCCTTTTTCTCCAAGTCACAGAGTGTGGCAGATGTACATTATCTCATCAAAGAGTCCCCCAAATTCCCCAAGGGGCCCTGCTGCCCAGACGAGGGGTTAGAGAGGCAGGGCCCTATCCGCTCTGTGGGTGATCTGCCCTCCTCAGTGACAGACTCTGTAAGTCCCCGAATACACTGAGCTCTATTTCTGGGTGTACTGAGGTCCTACTCCCCCTCTCTCACTACAATGGTCACTGACCCGAGTGTGTACGGAGGTGGCCAGTGAGCGCATCACGCCGGCGGCAAGCATAGTTACAGAAGGGACATTTGAAAGGCTTCTCCCCAGAGTGCAGCTTGATGTGGCGCAGCAGGTTCCCCTTCTGGGTGAAGGAGGCACCACACTGGTTGCAGTGGAAGGGCCTTTCACCTGCAAGAGAAACAACAGATCGCTGAGGACTGGGTGTGAGGAATTGTGAAGGTTGAACCTCTTCTCTCACCCTCTGCTCCACCCTGCCTGAGGGAAGGTGCTCAAGGCAATTTCTGAGAGGCAGAGCTGAGGCACGCACACAAAATTCCTGCTTTCTAAAGATCCCTCGGGAACAGTCTTACCCTGGGAAGGTGTGGATCAGAGATGAATGGCAGGGCAAAGGGCACCAGGCCTGGAACTCTGGGCCAAAAGACCATTAACCCAAAACTAAGCCCTGTAAGACCCACTCTGCCCCGGGATCCTGAAGCCTGAGAAAGCTGAGAAGAGGCTTTTGTTTTCCTTTTTTTGTTTTGTTTTTGTTTATTTGTTTGTGTGTTTAAATCTTGAAACCGGAGGTCCCAAATAATACCCTGGAGTCCTGTCCCTGTTGGACTCTAGGACCCTTCTTGAAGCTACACCATCGTCTCCCTCACCTCCTGAGAAAAGTATCAGCTTTTCTTATAACGACAGCTGATGAAAATGCCAGAGAAGTATGAATGTTGAGGGAATCCAAATGCCATCCCCTCCTTTTTTTCATCAGCTGGAAAATGTGTGGGGAGAGACCCTTCCCTTTCTGAGGCCACCCCACTGCAAGCATGGCCTCCTAGCCTCTGCCTTTCCAGCCCACCCCTGGAGCTCCTCCTGGACCCCCTGGCTTACTCACCGGTGTGGCTGCGCTTATGCACCATGAGCACATTAGGTCCAATACAGACCATGCCGCAGACATCACATTTGAGCTTGCCGTTGGGCAGCCGGATGCCCCCGGGGGAGTGAGGCTCTGGCCCACTTCCATCACAGTAGCCCAGGGGCTCTGACAACGAGTCTTCCACGATCACACTGTCGTCCTTTTCTAGGAGCCGCTCATCTGGCCCCAGCAGTCTGCTTGACTCCTCATCGCTGTACATCTCCACCTTGATGGAGTTGGCTGGAGGGTGGGATGGTGTTTAGGACAGAAACAGGCAAAGGGGGGAACCTGCCCGCAAACCAGAATGGTACTCCTGAGGTCCAGAAGGCCTTCTCCCAGCCCTGAGACACGCAGGCTTTCAAGGAGGCCAACACCCTAAGTCTCCTGGGTGGTGATATGGTGGTCCTGCCGGGCAGGACCTGAAACAACTTTTTCCTCCCATCCCACCGCCCAGGCAAATAGGCTCCAAAAGAAAAAAAGTACATGGGCTGTCTTCTGTTCCACTGGGGAGAGGAGGAGGCTAAGGGAAGCCTTTTTCTTCACTCTCTTGTCATTAAGAAAGATGTCTGGCTTGGCCCTGGGCAGGAAGCCAGCAAGTAACAGTGGCGGGAAAATGGTTCTAGGAAGACCAAAGAGACAGCGGGCTAAAGAGAGAGCAAAACTGGAAGACAGACATGGCTCACGTTATCCTCCCTCCCCATAAGACTGAACCCCTCTATTTCCCATCCATCAAAATCTGGAGAGGGGGATGAAGGAGGGAGGAGCCACTGAGGAGAAAGCTTTGGCTCTAGCTCTGACCTACATTCCTGGCTATTCCAACCATTTAGAGAATGTCACAGATCTAGGGCCAGCGAGAAGAGGCAGTCATGGGGACCCTATCCAGGCAGGAGAATGAGGGCCGGGAGGAGGAGGGGGCAGGTGATGAGGAGATCCCTCTCATCTCTGTTTCCTATCTGGCTCTACCTTGTGACCATTCCTATGTACTTGCTTCTCCAACTCCAGGATTTCTCTTTGGAGCCTTTACCTTAATCCCACCCATGCCTCCTTTAATTCTACCCTAGTCTGGCAGCAACCGTTCACTCTCCTTTCAGAAGTCAGGAAGACCCTAGATACTGAGCTCTGTACTGCTTTTGGAGGCTTGAAGCTGAAAACCAGAGGGAGGCAGCGATGGGGAAAATGGCTGCCCACGGAGGGTGAACTGCGGGCCAAACACAAATGGGGGTGCCTAGTGCCAGGGCAGGAGGTTGCACTTACCACTGAGTGAGCGGCTGGGAGAAGAGTGCTGGCTGTTGGGGGTGCTCACCGAGGGCCCCACTGGGGCCCCGAGGAACTCCTTCTCCAGAGATGAGTCCCCGCTACCTTGGAGGAGAGAACAAGAGGACAGGTGAAGCTGCGGCTGGAGACTGTTACCGTCCGTTGCCTCACCTCTTCAAAATTCTGTGACGTCTCACAAACATTCATCTTGTAGCCACGTACAAGGCAGTGTTGTGTGCTCGGCACCATACCTTGTGCCCTCGTCAGCCTGGGTGCCTGGTGTGGACTTCTGCAAGCTCAGTGGCTGCGTCTTGCCCACCCTACCTTTATCTAGGCCTGAGGGGAAGAGCATCACTGCCTGACGTCCACAGGAAGCAGGGCTGGGGCTGGGCGGGCCAGGGTGGAGAGGAAAATGGGGGCCTCAGGAGGGAGGCGGTTCAGGACAGACGTTCTTCCCTACTGTTCCTTTCCGGAGCCCCCAACACCAGGTTCGGGATCTGCAGGAAGGGCAGCTGGAATGGTCCCTGAATCTAATGATAATAATAGTAATCATAACGATAGCCGCTAACATGTATTGAGTGCTCACTTTGTGCCAGGCCTGGTTCTATTCACTTTATACCAATTATCTCATTTAACCTTCACAACAACCCTATGAAGCAGGTGCCAATACTATCTTCATTTTGCAGATGAGAAAACTGAGGCACAAAAGAGGCTGTGGTACTTGTCCAAGGTCACATAGCTGGTAGAGGTGGAACCCGGACCGATCATAAATCGTAAGCACCCATGTCCTGAGCCACCACCTCTGCAACCAGTGGGGAATCACTGTTTTAGCAGAACTCTAATGGGAGCGTTGGGCCCATTAGACCTTCTGTAATCAGCACAAATTTGACTACTCCAGAAAGCCTCCTATCTGATATGATTCCAGTCACATATTTATTGCCCGATGTTCCCCTGACAGTAAAATAATGAGTTTATTCTCAATATGTTTGTTGTTAACGTGCTGACAAATTGCTTTGTAAAAATGAGTTTTAAGAGTTTCGTATGTATCTTTAAAAAATTAGTTAACATACATGAAGATATGAATCATGTCTTTAAAAAAAAAATCCCTCCTCCCCACAATCTTGTGCACAAATTTATAGGTGAAATAAAACACATGTAGGTAAACACACACATAGACACAGACACATATCACAGATGTAGATACACATGAAGAGAACATACCTATAGGGGTAAACACACCCACAGCCTTCTACATTATCTGCTAACGTGAACATGCATGCATTTGTACACACAAGCCTAAATATGGAAGAGAGAAAGAGAGAAAGACACGAGCCCTAAAATTCATCCCTAAAGTCCACCTATTAGTACTTTACCCAATTTCCCAGCTATGCACATACTTACTTTCACAAAATAAAGATTCCATTATAAAATGGTTGGAGTCTTGGGCCTGAGGCAAGTAATCCGGAACACACCCTCCTGAGGGATCCCTCTCCAGCTTTGGTCAGTGGGAAGAAAACAACCACTCAGGACTTTGGGACCATTTCCCATTCATATCCTCTTCTAAAAGTCCCATTTCCCCCATTCTTTCCCATCAAAGCCTGAGGAAATCTGTTCACTATCTATAGAAAATGCCTTATAGCTTGAAACTGAGTTGTCCCAGCTGCGGCTCTTTAGATGAGCCATGGTTATCTAGAAAAGTTGCCCAAGTCAGAACCACATACATATCATGAAGTAAACATCTCAGAGTTGAGGGTTGAGATGTGTAGACTCGGACCTAGTTTTAAAATACGTCCTTTAACTAAGTGGTAGTGTTTGCTGTGGTTAAAGGGGCTAAAAGGGGCATCTCTTCATTCCTTTTCAGACGTTTAGTGCTGACTTGCCCTAAATCACTTGATGTTAGTAATAGGGGAAGAACTGGACTCTGGGCCCTGGTGCTGAGTCCTTGACCCTAAAACAATGAGTGAACTTGCTGGAAATCCATCTCTAGTCCCAGCCTACTAGGCTGAGACTGCCTCTTGGAGCCAGGGGCTTGATACATGGAGAAAATATGCTTAAAGGGATATTTAGGGGCATTAAGAGGAAAACATCCCTTGTGCCTTTCCTTATGAAGGCCTGGGAACAGGAGGAAGAGCAGGTGCCTCCAGAGCCACCCTAGTTGTTTGAGAGGCTCTTTGATGCCATTGCCCTCCCTAGGGAAAATAGGCTCAAGTCTGCTTTTCTGGGGCTAATACATAAAAATGAATCTGTTTAAGGGGCCAGAAAGTCTTTATGGGGACCCAGGGATTTTGAGTTCTAGCTGGAGGGTGAAGGGGCCTAGAGACAGATTTAGGAAGTTCAGAAGTTCCTCTGTCAGTCCCAGAAACCCCAGGGAGGGAACTTCAAATGCCTGGGACTCCCAAGAAATCCCAGACTGTCAAAGCCAAGAATTAAGGCCACTCTCAGGTCTCAGAGAAATGTTCTTGCTCACAGTCATCATAGATTGGCTGAACCCCCAGAGGATAAAGCCAAATCATGAGGTTGACATCAGAGGAACAAGGAGGTGGGTCCAGGGCAGAAAAGCAGGAGGGAGAGAGAGGAAACAGGGCAATGTCCCACAAGCTAAATGTGTTTCACATGCTGAAGGAGACTAGCCCTCCACTCCTGCTGCCCTTCCTCGATCCCTTCAAAGAGTGGCTGCCTCTAGGGAACAGCCATGAGGTCCGAGAACCTCCACACTTCTCTGCTCTCATCCTAACTGCTTTCCCTTTCTTGACCATGGGCTCCGGGGTGGCAGGATGCTAACCTGCTAGCAGGGAACAGTGGGTACAGGAGCGAAGAAAGACGCCCATCCCCAGCTCTATTGTGGGGAAGAGGCTGAGGCCCCTCAGATCTCTGTTCCAGGGTGAGGCATCTGCTGCCAAGGCTCCTCTTTACCTCGATTCTATTACCCATTCCCACCCAGGCCTGTCTCGGCATTTCCCCCTCGGGCAGCTCTACATCTGTCCCCAAGGCCTAATCAAGATGTCACCACAAGCTCCCACTGTCCAAGTCGCAGTCTTTGCTTAGCAACACCAAACACCCTTCCCATCCTCCGCAAGTGTAGGGAGGAACGCCCCCTCCCCCGCCACTCACACTCACACTCACACACACACACGCACACACACACACACAGGCGCGCGCGCGCGCGCGCGCGGCCCCCATCCTCTCCCTCTCCTCAGGCTTGGGAGTAGTTACTGAATCGGCTCCCTAGCCCCGGCAACCCCCCTTCCCCCTCCGCTAGCCCCCTTCTGCCTGAACTTACATTATCCTTCCCTTGCCGGTGAGCCCCTGGGGTGCGAACGCGGCCGCCGCCTTGGAAACGGCGAGGGAGTGCGGGTGGTGTGTGCATGTCTGCGTCTCGGTGGCAGGCAGGGGTGAGCCCAGCCACTCACCTTCCAGGAAGCGCGGATTCCTGGAAGTGAGGGGAACCGCCGTCATTTCGCAGGCAGCGGCTCGGTGAGCGGGGGCCCACGGCTGCAGCCGGCAAGAGGAGCTCAGCCCAGGGTGTGTGTGTGTGTGTGTGTGTGAGAGAGAGAGGGAGTGTGTGAGAGAGAGAGGGAGAGAGGGAGAGCGCAAGCGAGTGCACACGCTTGGATGTGCTTGCGGAGGGGGCTGGAGAGAATGTATATGTGTGTCTGGTGGGGGGGAATGCTAGGCTACAGCATCCCTTTCCCAAGCCAGGAAAGGGGTGGGGGTGGGGGGTGTGCACAGGGAGGGGGAGGCAGATGCCGTTGCCCTCGTGCCCAGCAGACAAAGAGGAACTGCACAACAAATGCCTGAGAGAGGCAAGAGTGTGTGTAAGAGAGAGAGAGAGATGGATGGGCCCTCGAGGTGGGAGGGAGAAAGGGGGGCCCCCAGGGAAGGCCCAATCCTCTGCCAGCTGGGGAAGCCAAGGCCCCAGAGGTCATGGGGCCCAGGACATGGGGCAGCTTCAAGGCTCTCAGATCGGCAGAAAGCCCCTCCCCCACGAAACTCGGGCGCTCAGATTCCCTCCTTTCCCTCCTCCTCCAGGAGGGAGGCTGCTCTCTAGATCTGGGGACAGACAGCCCCCTCCTTCCCAGCAGTGAGAAGACCCAGAAGTCTGGTCTCGGGCTAGTGTTGCTCTGTGGCCCTGAGGCTTCTCAGATCCCGGGCAAAATCCCAGTATAGTCTCCCCACCTCCGCCGCCCTCCCTTCCAGTGCCCCTGGGGCCCAGCAGCCGACAGCCCTGGACGAATCCGCCTTCTATCAAGACAAGGCCTCTGCTCCCTTCCCTTCCAGAGGAGCTGCTCACTGACGTGCTGACCTACTTTGGAGACTAGATTTTCTGATTCCAAGAATTTGGGGGTGGGAGGGGCCGTGAAACTTTGGGCTGCCTACCCCTGGATCCCTCTCTAAGGTTCCCTTAAACAGAAAACTGTGACAAGCACTGCTCAGTCAATTAATTGCATGAGCTGGGTTTGAGGAACTCAGTTTCCCCTGAAAGATAGGGAATGGAGGTGGGGAGAGAATCCATGTGGTAAGTTAATGGACTCCTCCTTCCTCTCTCAAGACCCCAGGAGGGAGTGACCTGCACTTTTAGAAAGAGACAAGGGGAGAGAGGATGGGTTTTCTGAATTGGGTTCTGTGAGGTGGGAAAATCTCTTCGAAGAACAGGAGAGATACCCCCTTCATCACGTGGCCAGGTGAGGGAAGGCCACTGGGTGAGGGAAGGCCACCAGGTGAGGGAAGGCCACCTGGTGCGGAGACAGAAGAGCCTTGATGACCTTGAAGGGCCACAGTGTGCTTGAGGAGGGGTACATGCAACAGCCTTTCCCACTGCTTGCATACTGGCCCAGGAGAGATGGGTCAGTGCTGGGCTCTCAGATGCCCCTCACATGGACTGTCTCAGCCATGCCCAGCCCTGCAGGGGCTACTTTTCAGAACTAATGTTAGCCCTATGTTGGCTTTCCCTTTTCCCATTCTCTAGGGTAGTTGCTGGCATCTAGAATTCTCAAAACACAGGTGAGGGGTTTCTGGCTTCTGCTTTCATTCAAAAAATACCATCCTGTGCAGAGGCTTCTCTTATCTCAGAAATGTCAACGTGCTGAAAGCAGGGAAAATTTGGTTTCATAGCACATGAAGCAAACACCCTAAGAGGTTTTCCTCTAATCCACATTCTCCAGAGACAGAGCTCCATGGGATATTTCCCCAGTCACTTTCTCAGTTTCTCATTTACCTACGTTAGGACAGGGACTGGTTTTTATCCGTCTACGTATTCCCCAGCAATACAACAGGGTCCAGAGTGTGGCTGTTGCTCAGTAGTGGTTTTCTGAGTAGGCTTAACTGAGCAAGAGAGAGAAGGGCTGGCTGGTTCCTCAGAAGGGCCATGACTTTTGTTCCAATAAACCTCTTTCAGTTAAATCAGTCCACTTGATCCCTGTCACTCTGACCAGCATGTGGCAGGTATCAAATGCCTTTACCCATTTCAACTCCTTCCCTCCTTAAATGAGAAAGGGGTCAGACTCAGTGTCTTACCTTACATTACCCAGGTGTTGCCAATGACTCTTATATGTGTGTCTGACCCATCTTGCTATCATCCTTTGAACGTGCCCATAATTCCATTGGTCCCACTTCAGGGTAAAAAAAAAAAATAAGCTATAGGTCATTTCTACAGTGGTGTTTGGATTTCTGATGGGCATCCTCATCATGTCAAAACCCAATTCTGGCTTCCCTTACCTTTTATAATCATTTCCTGCCCTGACATTCTAATGGTCCAAAAAATGATTCCTTCTGTCTTAGAGACAAACTCTGTCTTAGGCCTTTCTCTACACCCTCAGAGAGGGAGCCAGATAAAGGTCCTCATTTCTTTTTACCTTGTTAAACTCTGAAAAGACCCCAATTACTTTCATCTCTCTAAAAGCCATTCATACGGTCTCTTCTGCCTCAGTAAGAGTATTTGGCAGCTATGCAAAGCCACAGCATGTTATGACAGTGGAAAAGGACTGGGGGAAATGAGAACTGGGCTCTATATCTCTCTTTCAAGGGCTCTATGTTGTTGGCCCACTGGCTGAATTTAGCCCATGGACAAGTTTGGCTTGCTCCATGGAACATTTTTTAAAATATTGAGTCATTATTCTAAAATGGAGACATTTCACATAAAATCTGGATTCCTGACTTCTCTTGAAAAACTGGAAGTTTTGGCCACACTGGATACACATTCTGGCATGACAATGACTGATGGACACCGAGGAGCTGTTGCTCCTTGAGGTAGGACATGTGTTCTCTAGTACATGACAGTCCCCACATTCTCTTCTGTGCATTATCCTAACCCCGTTCACTCATTTACATACCCACTTGGCCCCTACAGGCCTTTGAGGTTTGAAACCCTGCTCCCCTCTCCACCTGGCTGGGACAGAATATCATGTTTGGCCGGTGACCTCAAGAGTATGGGAGAAGGACCTACATCTTCCTTCTGTCTCTTTGCTTTAAATCATTCCTCTCTAATAGTCTCCACTCATATTCTCCTCTTATTCCCTTCCCCTTCCCTAACCCCCAAGAAGTCTGGGAAGAGAATCTCTATTTAGGGAATATAAAATGATAAAATAGATACACACTACCAAGCACTACCAAGCATGAGTGGCAACTCTGTGACTGGGGCACCTGAGGTCCTGTACTAGGCTGAAGGCTGGACTCCACTCTGCTCCACAGGCAAGTGGCTGCTCCCAGCCCCTTATAAACAGAATGCACAAGAGGGCATACCAGACATATAGGAGCGGCCATTGCAGTCTTCTATGTCCATCTTAGAGTCTGCTGAAAGAGAAAATAACCGTGATTAGAAGCCAGATCTGGGAAGGGAGGAGGTTTCTCTTTAACATTCTGGAATTAGTAAATTTGCTCCAACCCTATCCTAAGGAAGAAAAACCTCTTACTTGGTCCCGATGAGAAAGACAATGTACCCCGACTTACAAACCCCAGGGTCTCCAACCCACAACTTCTGCAGGCTTCCCCAGTCTCTGAAGTGGAAACACTGTCTTACTCCAGAGTGGTCCCGGTTGTGTTGTTTTGAGAGTAGACCCTCCTCCTGTAGGTGGAGCTGATGCTGTGGGAAAGGAGACAGGTTACAGCCCAGCTTTCTGGAGGCAAAGAAACCAGCCCCACAGAAGCTCTGTACCTTAAGGTGGGGTAGTAACAAGAGAAAGAAGCTGGATTCTGTCTCAAGGGATTCTTTTTTGGGTGTGTAGGGGAGGGAGGGGGACAGGAAAGTAGAAGATGGAGAGCAGCCCACCTCAGGTTCAGCGAGGAGTCCTCTCCTGAAGGTCTAATAAACAAATTAAAACTTTAAGTGGCTTCTCCCCACCTTCTTGCCAATTACTTCGCTATGTTTATTTTTTTTTAAAGGCGGAAGCCTGAATTTAAAATGCAGGTTAGTCTATTTAAGAGAAGTGAGCAGTAATTGGCAGTAGAGTATTAAACAAATCAAGAACTGAGAACAATTAAAAGTGATAATTTGTTCCAGTGAATTACCTCCTTAGGAGCCTGTGGGAGGAGGAAAAAAAAATATCTTTGGTGGAAATTTACATACCTCCAAAATTGATTTCACCAGTCATCTAATGAAAAATAAATACTCCAGGGACAGATTTGGGGGCACAAGAGTGGGGCAAGGGAACAGCCTGAGCTGCCACCAGGATTCCTGGTCTCTTCGAAGGATCTCTCTGAGGCAGATGGATGAAAATTTGGTTTGCTTGTAATACTATACTGTTAAAAGGCAAGGGTGGAGGATTCTGGAGGATGCACAGGGGAAAAGTATCTATTACCCTGTCTCCCCACTCCCTCAGGTCATTCACGTGCTGAGAGACATCATACTCCTCTGAAAAGTCTCAAGAGAAAGCCCGAAATATGGGCTTTCCTTCACTTCACAAAGCAGCTGTACCTTAGATTTCATTAGAGACTCCTAGTCTTACCCAAGAAGCCTGGGTGTAGAAGAAAAAATTATCTAAATTTATTTTCAACTCTTCTTCACATCCTCCCTGGGATGGACTGAGCTTTGGGATCAGACTGCTAGATCAAGCCACAATAATGAGTGGTTCCTTGAAGGTTCCCTTAGGGGTAATGATTAGAAGAGCCCAAGTCCACAGTGGTTAGCAAACTCATACCCTCTGGAACTAGCCATAGAACTTGTGGTGGGCAGAGATTCAAAGAATGAGGAAGGACGGTCTGGTACTCACGGGGCCCCCTTCATTTCCGAATCATTAGCTCCATAATTGCCCTTTGGGATTTTTCAAAACTGCAAAGCTAAGATGCCACATGTGACTTCCCTTCACACACACACACACACACACACACACACACACACACACACCCCATGCAGGAGAAGCAAGAGTGAGCAAGATTTCCTCCATTTTCTGCTTGGAGAAACTGAGGCTCAGAGCAGCTAAGTGACTTGTCTCAGGGTTCATGGTGAGCCTGGAACAAGAACACAGGTCTCCCACCACTCTGAGCTGTGCTCTCCCATTAAACCATCTTGCTTCCTTTCAAAAGTCGTGGATCTTCTTGCTTTTCCCTGGTTCTAACATCAATTAAGGCATCTTTTCCTTTGGTGTGACCCCCGTGGGAGTAGGGTCTGTTACTTAAAAAGAAGAACAAGTTGAGCAGGCTCTAAGAGGAGAAATATGCTAATGTAATGTAATGTAATGTGTGTGTGTGAGAGAGAGAGAGAGAGAGAGAGAACACAAAGGAACCAGGGGCTAGATAAGCACTAGGTAGGCAGAACAGTTGAAGCATAGCATTCAGCCAGCACTGGCTCAGGAAGTGCATCTCATTCTTGGACACCTGCCCAAATGGTCCCAAAACAATTTCCAGAAGGGTCTGAAGGAGTTGTTTTCTGAGTTGGACTTTGTTCCTAGCAGTAAACTGAGCTCTTCTGCTTCTTAATTGCTCTTAACAGGTGCTCCATGACACATCTTGGGCAAAAT